CTGGGCATCAGCCCCAGCACCTGCTCCTTTAATCCTGGAGTAATCGTTGCTAACATGACTGAATGGAAACATCAGCGGATTACGAAGCAGTTGGAAAAGTGGATGCAAAGAAACGTGGAGTACGTGTAGGAATCCAGCTTTGCTCTTTACTTGTATGGTCGGTTTACAGTTACATTTTCCATGTAAAAGCTCTCACAAGGTTTTTAACGCCAAGCAGTCTTTTTGAGATCTCTAAAGCAATGGAACACATGTTCCAGAGTTTTCATCTGCTTAAATCAGACCAAGTGTGTACCAGGAAGTGGCCACCTGGGATTTCAGTCTTGTGTTTGATTACAAACCACGCTTCATCCTGAGGGACATGGAGAACACGTGGCCAACCTCACTGGCCCTCGAACCACTTGCGATCTTCGCTTCCGGAGGCTGGCTCGAAGGAGGAACGTTTCCGTCTTTATGTGGGGTTGCTGCTCCTGCAATGTCAGCCAAACTGTAACTGGACACTGTATTTCCTAAATACCAGTAGAAAACACTTCTCTTCCTATAGATGGACAGAATTTGACATGAAAGGTGTCTCTGTGGCATTGAGCACGAATGGGTCGTGACACGGTGAAACGGTCACTGTTGGTTTTTTTAATGGGAGTTCACTTTGACCTGTACCTGCAAACCTGACATGTACTTTCCTTCCCCGCAGAGGGTTAAATTTAAATTTAGTATGGCTGAACACAAGGGGAATAGGTGTGCTGTTGGACTGCATCCATTACCCATTAGTTTCCCAAATGAAGACACCACAGGATACACATGTGAAGGAATGAAAAGCCAAGTGATGCTTTTTCTTACTCTGCTAGGTAACACATCCTGACAAGCTGTTGCCAGGCTCTTTAAGAGCTGGGAAAAATCCATGAATCTTACTGCAAATTTTATCTCTAAAGTTCATTTTATACCTTAATAACACATGCATGTTCTTTCAGCCAGATTTTGAAACGATGGTGAAATAAATTGCTTAGCAGTTGAATCATAGAATCATGGAATGGTTTGGGTTGGAAAGGACCTTAAAGACCATCTAGTTCTGCCCCCCTGCCATGGGCAGGGACACCTTCCACTAGACCAGGTTGCTCAAAGCCTCATCCAGCCTGGCCTTGAACACTTCCAGGGATGGGGCATCCACAGCTTCTCTGGGCAACCTGTTCCAGTGCCTCACCACCCTCTCCGGGAAGAACTTCTTCCTGATATCTAATCCAAATCTACCCGCTTGAAACCCAGTTTGGGAGGGAGGTTGTGATTTTGTTGTTCCATCGCCTCTGAGCATCTCTCAGTACTTCCCAGGCCTCCTTCCTCCTCCTCCTCCCGGCTTCACCCAGGGCTGACTGGCCGACCAGGCCTCAAGCGTGCTGTGGCCAGACATCCTTCTGCTGCCTCCTAACGCCTCTCTCTACAGTAATTCGACTTTAGCCAGCCCTGGATTGAGCCCCAAAATCATAGTGAACAGGTCTCCTTTAGATGTTAGTTTACCAACGAGCCTTTGGGAAATCCCATTTGAAGTTAATTTATGGGTCTAAAAGCTGGGTGGATGTTTGGAAAAGGACAGAGGGAATGAAACACACGGAAACATGGAAATGTCCTTAAGAAACGAGGCTAAAATGTTTGATTCCTTTATGCTGACAGCTTCTTCCCTACTGCAGCCTGTCAGCCGTGTAGGCTACAGCCCGTGTGTAGTTGGCTTCCTGTTGGGTCTGACTCCCACCTCGCTTGGTAGCAATGACTTACTCAACGGCAACCGCGGGGTGCAAATACGAGCCGTTAAGTGTTCGGGAGCGTGATCAAAATCGGGCCGTTCAACTCATTTCGGAATCTTGCCACAATACTTCAATCTCCTGACCTTCGTACTAACAGCTCTGTGATGGAGGTTTGGAACGTGTTCTGAGTTTTCCTTTTTCCCCCCCCCACCTGCAGGGAAAACCTCTACAGCAGCACCCTCGGGGGAGGCGTGGCAACCTCTCCGATGCTGATCGTGTTTCATGGGAAGTATTCCACTATTAATCCTATGTGGCACATACGGCACCTCGGTAAGTTTAACTTCCCCGTTTGCAGCTGGAACGAAATACAGCGAGTGCTTTGTAAGGTTCCACCACGGGACCTTACGTTACCGCACCTCAAGCGTGTCCTCCATCCCTCCGATCCGCGGCGCGTAATCCCTGCTTCCCACAGCACGCCTTAGTCCTGCTTTCCTCGGGTAGGGCGGAATGTGGGGGCTCCCCACGGGTCTCACCACACAGAGATCTGAACAGGCCAAGCAAACAAACGAGTTATGCCCCTGCAAACACCCCAACGGTCATCCCTGGACATAAAGACCAGGGAAAGCCCGCAGAGCAGGGACAAAGCTACATGTTTGGGGGCCAGGTAACCTGTGTTCTCACAGACTGGGGGAAGAAGATACGGAATGCCTGGCAGCGTTTGCCTTCTCAACCTTCTGGAGGATATAGTTACCACCCACCTGGGCAGAGTGAATCACCCTGGGAAAAGGAGTAATGGCTTAGCTGGGGTAGTGAAATGAACAGTAGATTTTGGGGGTTTTGACCCCAGCCACGCCAAGATGTTGAAAGTGTTGATTTTTTTTCCCCCCTAATTGTGCATTGGAGAGGCAGGATTTGGCAAAAGCCAGTCTATCATGATAAACGAGTTGTCCATCAGCCGGTGAAGTCATCCTGATCAGACTTTTTCAAAAAATAACTGAACCTACCTCACTTTGGTGCCTAACATTATTAAAAATGGTGGTTTTTTTCTGTTTAATGTCCCCGTGCAGGTTGGAGTCCTGATACCCGTTACTCAGAGCATTTTCTTCAAGAAGCTAAATTACTGCACTGGAACGGGAGATACAAACCTTGGGACTATCCCAGTGTTCACACCGATCTCTGGGAAAACTGGTTTATTCCTGACCCCTCAGGGAGGTTCAAACTGACTCGCCCCGAGAGCTGATACAGACAGCGCTGAAACGCACCCAAACGCTAAGTTTTGCAGTACGTAACAGCTGGAGGTGCAACACGCTCTACAATTAACTGGGTTTAGAAAACTAAGTATTTGTTAATTATATGAATAAATGGCCATCACTTCTGGGTGCTCGTGGTTGGAGAGTGAGGCCGGAGTGACAGCTGCTGCCAGATTATCCTGACTTTCCTGTAAGGCGAGGAAACACGTCCCCCTGACGATGAGTATTTTCCTTAAGCGCTCACGGAGGGTGACGCGTAGCACCAGGCAGGGTGTTCCCTGTGAGACTCCCGGGCCTGCGGGTAGAAACACCCTGGGAGGAAACACCTGCAGTGTTACCTGCGAGGTGCCTTAGTTGCCTGGCCCACACTAAGCAGCCCGACGGAAGACTTGGTCAGGCTGTGAAGGAGCAGAGCTCAGCCGCACGGTGACTCCAGCGGCATGTTTCCAGGCCCCTGCTAGCAGGATGCAAAGGGACACTCTGAGACACCGTAATACAGTTCCTGATTTTATTGTGAAACAGTGATAGATTCAGGGCAGATTAAGAACTTCTGCATTACTGAAGTGAAAAGAGCACCAGTTCTGAGGCAGCACGCGTGGGACCGCCGTGTTTGGAGCGGTCACTGTACACGTCGCCGCACGTTAAATAACCTGGCAGGCGACTCCGTAAGGAAGAGCCCCTTCCTGCCACTCAAAGGGGTTACAGCAGTCCCACCCTGCTGTGCTGCATACACAGCACCACTGATCACATGCTTTAAGTCTGTCGAAAAATAACATGGAATTGTGACAAATCCCTGATGCAGGACGCTCTGAGCACCTGCAGGAAAACGCCCATGTAAACAGCAATACATGATACAGTACACTTCAAATAACAGACGAGACAAGCCCTATCCCTTCTCAGACAATATACTGAGCAGCTTTATGCTGAAGCTAATAAACACAGTCGGAATCGTAACGCACACTTCCTCCACTTAAGACACTCAGAATTAAGCCACGTAATTTGGGAAGAAAACTGTAAACATCGTGCCTGCCTCGCACCCGGCTGACAGCGCGTCATCTCCGCAAGAGCCTACCGCAGCAGGAGTAGGATCTACGCTCGCTACTTAGGCTGGATGCACGACAACCGCCAGGCTGTGAGGGAAGGACAGAACAGGCTGGCGCGGGAGTCTCTCACCAGCGCCATCGATTGTGGAGATACCGCTTGTATCTGCTTTTCAAGTACGTGAAGCACCCGCTGTCATAAGATCATCAAAACGCCCAGGTTTTGATCAGCTTATTGCTTTTACTTCATCTCTTCCTCACACGGCAACAGAGGGAAAGAAGATCATGGTTAGGCACAAGCACGGAATCTCGTTTCTTTCTCAGCGGCTGAAATTGGCCAAAAGCGGGTACTGTTTAAGCAAGGTCCTCAGAAGAGAGCTGTGCTCTCTGCAGCTGACTTCATTCTCACGGAACAGCACATTTAACTTCGTATTTCTCCCTTGCAGGAGGCATGAGAACAGCCTCTGAAGTCAGATTTAAGAGGATGGCGTGTTACAAACTACTAAACTGCAACCCCCTTTCACCCTGTGCCAGTCGTAGCGAGGTAAGCAGCGCGGCTGCAGGTAACATCACAGGGAATATGGCCTGTCGGCTCCCTGCACTGCGAGCTGTCCGAAGGAGCCGTCTCTTGGGAAAGCTCAGGCCAAGAGACGAACCACACAGCGATGACAGCGTTTAACGCCACAGAATTCAAGAACCACCGCTGTTGTTTTGGGGTTTTTAAAGGAATTCCAGTTCTGTACATTGGAATTTAAGGGGGAAACAGATAGGAGTGGCGGGGACACCTTACCCAGGACTGCTCAGCTGGTGTATCCTGTGCCACACAAGTTTTCCTCCCCAGTGCTGTGACTTGAGGTGATGTCTCCATTCCCTTAATCCTGAATGTGGTCCGGTCACTAAACAGACGGAGCTCTCTCGTCCCGCCCAAAAAATGCTCGGTACTCACAGCTGCAGGACACAACTTTCTGCACTGATTTCAGAAGGTAAAAGGCAGGCTTAAAAAGCACAGTTTGCTTAACTGAGCATGATTAAAAACAGCACCTCATGTAAGGTAAGGGTACACCCTCCCTTTTTTCCCTCTGGATATAAAAGGCTTGTGAGATTATCCAAACATTGAGGCCTCAGTAAAAAGTATACTGCTGCTGTCACGACTACATTATGATTTAGGAATAAAATTAACACTCCAAGGAAATCTTCACAAATGACAAAGCAGTTTGTCAAAATCTGCAAGGAATGGTACACGTTAAATATAAAACTCATATACAAAAAAGGGCTAACTTTTTTTTTTTTAAAAAGTTTGGGCAGTTCCTTAAAATTATCTAGTTCATTGATTTGAGCCTACCACACACTCACTCTGGACTATAATAAAATAACTAGCGGAGATAAAATACTATGAAAATGCTTCAGTTGGAGAACCGAGGTACCAATCTTGAGCACTGCATTAAAACTGCAGCATGTATGCATAGCCGAGACGGAAGAGCTCCTACGCGCTGCTTCCCTCCTCTTCCCGCGTCATGCCGGTGCTGAACTCCGGAATCTGGTCTGCAAAGGACTGTGTCATCCATTGTCCATGAGGAACTTCCCCGAAGGACGACCCCTCACAGTACTGCGGATTGCTCCCTGCTAAAACAAACACAAATGATAAATGACAGTTTAAAACATGCGGCTGATACCACCGAACCAAAACTAAACAATTAAAATACAGATGATGCCACCAGCAAAAAAGGCCTGAAGCCACAAAATGGACCCTAACCCCCAAAACAACCTCTAAAAAAACTGAAGACATCTGCAGTTTCCATCCTTCCTCTCTATTTTTCAACCACCTACTCAGGCTGCAGTTCAAACTTATTTGTTTGAAGCATCTGCTTTTGTAGATCCAGGTCACTTCCTCAAATCATAATTTCTTCAAGTCTTCTTCGACCTCTGACTGCATAGGTATAATTTTAGTCCAAATGTCTAAAAGCGTACCTCACTTGGCAGCGTTTCACAGGAATCAGTTTTTCTTCTCAAAAGGACATTCTCTTGGACAAAGCAGGATAGACAGAACACAAATTCCAGTTCACAAGATGAGAGAGATTAGGACTGAAAAGTCAAGGCTTAGGGGAAGGTGGTTACTCCAGTAGCTCCTAACACTGTTTTTCATATGCTTTTGTTAATTACAGTTGCTACTTTGGGAACTAAAATTGCCAGTTTCTTAATTCCAGCTACATCACTACACTCATTCCTCTAATACTGCCCCCTCCTCTGGCCCACCAGGAGTGGAACCCCTTCAACTGCACTGCTACTTTACCTGTTCCACCATTCTCTGGATTTGCTTTCCTTGGGGAAAAAAACCCAGTACCGACCCTCTCTTTTGCTCCAAAAAGAGTGATGCAGGCGCAGGAGGCACCGCAGTTGAAGAGGTTTACTGTGTCTGCCCGTCAGATCCTGGGAGTCAGTCAGAGTTTGGGAAAACGGCATGAAGTTGCAGACAGTTGATTTTCAAAAAAAGACGTGACTTCTCTCTATTTCCCTCCCAGAAAAACTACACATTCCTTCGATTATGTAAGAGTTTAACTGCTGCTGTACTTCAGGTACGCCTGACCTGTGCAAGCTGCTGACGGGGCAGAAAGTCAAGCGCTGCTGTGTAAGTAATGGTTTACAGACCGAGTGCCCCAGGCGCTGCACCTTACCGGTTCCGTTGGAAGAGAAACCGCACTGTTCGCCTTCATACGGTGCACGGTCACAGTAAGCTCCTCCGTACGCTGCTTCATAACCTGGATCGTACTTCTCCTCTTTGACAGCCATCTTCTTGGCATCCTCTGACGAAAGAGAAGACCTCAGGTATTAATACCCAGAACAAAAATGATCAAAACTTGAAAACGCAGCCAGACATTCTACAAGATAATTTCTTCTCCCCTTAGATAATTAAGACTATGGTAAAGGGAGCAGAATCCGTAATTCTACGCCACGTGATTTGGAGTAGATGGCACATCCCTCCCCTCCCCTGCAACTCTTTATTTCTCTTTACTCGGGGAACTGCTCGTTGTGTCCCACGCGACGCTACGTTTTAACAACAGAATCACTGTACCTTGTGCAAGCTGCAGGTCAAACGTGTACTGCACCTCCTGCACCTCCGTGTTGGGCGCGATGCCTTTCAGCTGATCCCGCAAGTCCTTCAGCTTTATGTAATAATGCACTTTATCCTGCGCACGAGGAAACTGAGCACACCTTGCGCTGGATGACGGCATAACGTAGCAGAGCTTGAGACAAAGAGCAAAAAGAATAGTATTACCAGCCCCTGAGCTGCGAGCTAGTATTTGGTGTGTCCAGAATAACAGTTAAGCGTATTGTTTTAACCCTTTGTGCAAACTGCAGCTAATGCCACAGGTGGCTGTGGGAGATGACAAAAGGAGTCCTCCCCTGTTCTTGGCCAGCTAGATGCCTTCCCTGCAGAGAGGGGTTGATTACCGGCTGCTGAAGCGAGGACAACTTTCAGCAGTTGTTTCTGTGCTGCAGGAGAAGGTACCAGCATGTTACAGGTAGAATTCACAAGTGGATGCCAGAGACCCAAGCACACTCCAGAGCTCCCTAAGCGAGCGGAGGTCTGAGCCAGAAAGTACACAGCAGCGTAGGTGACAGCATGCCAACAGCCCAAAGCAGCCAGGGCAGCATCAGAGGTTAATTAGCCTGCCTTTTTGGCCAAGGGCATCTGCATCGCGCTTGCCAGGGTCTCAAACTCTGGAGTTGGCGTGGCTGAAGCCAACTTCAGTCTCTCTTTCTCTGCCGACAGCCCTAACCAGAGACATAAAGTTAGGTCAGGCAAAAGAAACTGTACCCAATACTTTTATTACTGTGCAGCATTTATGAACAGGTACTTGTAAATAGGGTTGTTTGCCTTTCTTACAAATACATCTGCGGCAGAAGTGTTTAAGAGCTGCTTAAGAAGCAAGCACTTTATCACCGACGGCTCTGATGGCAATGCTCCACCACTAGAGAAGGACAGCTTAAACTTGGCTTAAACCTGCAACACTAGGAATTTGGGGTACGCAGAAAGAAAAAAAGAAAACCACACCAACTTGTGAACTGACAAGGTAACGAAGCTTTGGAATAAGACACCTTGGCTGGCAGCATAAGTGCCTAGCATTAACCTGTTTGCAAGAAGAGGTTAAACCAACCTGTTTGGGATGATACACAGCTGCTCTCCTGAGATCCCTTCCTGCGCTAGATGTCTGTGACTAAGGCACTCTTCATCAAATCCCTTGTTTTATCGTAAGTATCCAGTCTGATTTCAAGCTGCAAATCAGCTGAAGACGACCGAGTCTGACAGAGGTTCTTGGGCATGCCCAGATGCAGCAGTGCTATAGCGGGAGCGTGTAACCGCACCACGATGGACTCGCGCTTCTATCTCCCCCACCGTGGCATTACCAGCACCATGGCCATGTTTGGGAGCGGAATTCAGTTAATACAAACACACAGGGAACTCGACACAGAGAATCAGATGAAAGTAGATGACAGTTATCATAAAAGCATCTATATTTTATTCGTATTTTAGGTAGTCCTCATAGAGTGCACTAACCTACTTGCCATAATACACTATTTCCCAAATAAAGTCAGCAAGTTTGAAGATGTTGCATTAAAGAGGTGTCTGAAAATTGCTCTGTCCCACTTTCTCTGTTTAAGTACGAGTCTTTCACATCCCTTGTGCTTTGGGCAAACTTTGATGTTATCGTAAATGTCTTCAAGCCCTGAGACCTCCTTAGTTTTGGAATAACCAAAATGGAATGCCCTGTTGGTTCTTCTCAGGATCAATACTTACAGTTTCTGTGTCTGGCACCTTGTGTGGCTGCAGTCCAAATTCCAAGTTCTTAACCTTTATTCCGAAAACTTCTTTACTAAAAATTTCATAAATACCTAAAATGAAAAGAATACAGGATAAGTGGACCAAAAAAAAGAGCTACCAACAAAACAAATTAATGTAAAATGAAGGTTCTCACATTTTCCATTGAAAGCTGCTATCCGAGGTTTGTACTTTTGTAACTTCTGCATCAGAATTCGCCCTCCTTCCCGAAACTCTTTGCTAGAAAAGGAAGTACTCAAAATTATAATCACAACTATTAATTCATTAACATGCATGGTATTTCCCCTTGTTATCCCACCTGGAAAGATCTTTGCTTCCAGGCGTTGTCCTTTCAACCATGTTTGTAAATCCAATCCCGTATTTAAGTGGCAAGGTGTGATCATCCATATGGTTCAGCTGTTCATTACTGAGACCAGACATGAACAGACACTTCCCTGTGAAGTAGGAAGACAGGCATTTGCCTTTTCCTAAGGAAAAGTAAACAAATCCAAAAAAACCCACCCCGACTGTCCGAGTACTGGAATGCCAAAGGAAGTAGCTATATGAAAAAAGCATCAGTTAATGTGGGAAAACTACTGCCCTATCAAGAAAGTTTAAAATGGCCAAATTGCTTTATCTACTGCAAGAGGATAGGAAATCCCTAGTCATCAGCAGAAATTACTCCCCATGATCCTATGTATGGAAACCAGACTTTTATTCTAGAAGGCCAGGAAAGAGCTTTCGATTTTGTGACTCGTTTAAGCAGGGAGTGAATGAGATGGATGTGGAACTTGCGGGAAAGAACGTGGCAAATACAAGTACCCAATTTCTTTTACGACCTTGCCATCACTCCTGCTTGCGCTGGGCCTGTCTGACAGAACCTGCCGACACCTTACATTCATATTTAGCATATAAAAACACAGTCTGGGTGCTGTGCACTGCCAGTCTCTTAAGCCCAAACTAACCACAGCTAGCTCCGAAGGATTCTGGAAGGTTACAGACCTGTGGCTTTGTCAGAGTGGGTGTACCTGGCCTGCTTCTCGGGAAAGCAGGCTGCTAGTCTCACCAGTCTCACTAGGCTGCAGAGCACTGGAGCAATACCCCAGCCTGGTTTACAAGCCTGCTGGACACCAGAACCCTTTTGGCTGGAGTATCACACGGCTGCAGCTTAGCCCACACGGAGCTCCACAGCTGGAATGTCTCCCAGTAAGCGAAACCGAGCATTTCAGAGTTTAGCTGTGATTCTTCCTGAGAACATGCTGCAGAAAGTCTGACTTAAACAGGAAAACTATCTGTCTGGAGAATCAGGTATGCTAGATGCATAGGCCTACTGGGAAAGGCATTGGGTTTTGCTTTTTCATCAGTCAGAAAGCTTGCTTAGAAGAGATGAGTAGATACAAGCAGAAGAGGGATTGCTGAAATGCATTTTGGGCAAACGTGCATAGCTGTATTTACATCGGAGATCGATGCCTATCGATTACCCTTGGTAACTCGAGTACCAGAGGTTTCACTGTGATTCCGTGTGTTGCACACTACTGTGCCAAGACGTTATTTGGTAATACTGTGTTTATGTGGCAATTCTAAGCCTGGATTGGAAGTCACTGATTATTTCCCTTTATTCCTCTTTATGTACGGTATTTGACAGAAGTAGTTATGAGATGTAAATCTCTCCTAGATGGTTAAAAGCAAAATCCCTCTCTGCAGCAACAAAAAAAAAAAAAAAGAAAAAGCAAAACCCAAAACAGTTTAATTCAAATGCCACAAGTTCTAACAAAGTTCTGCAAATTCTACAAGAAGAAAGGAAATCAAAAACATACAGAAATGGTTTCCAGGTCCAGGGTAGTGATGTCCTTTGTAAGCTGCCATCAAGCCAGGGTTTATGCCAATCTACAAAGACACCAGTCCATTTTAACCAACAGAACAGGGCTTGCTAGTTAGGAATTTAATCAAGTTACAGTAAGGACGCTTATTCAAGTCTCTCTAAGTTACTGTCAATAAACAAACCCGTGTTATTGGTACCTTCCATCATTATTTAAACAAAACTGACCATTTTATAGCCAGCTGTCATTAGATGTGCAGTGTCAGAAGAGCAGCTCACAGTGTGTTTTACAGCCACTGGTGCAGCAGTTCCAGTAAATACAGTGTCAAGTAATGGTCTCTCATGATTATGCATTATACGTAAGCCATAGATTTCTCAGAAATTAGGACTGTGTTACTGTGCTTTTTAACAGAAAATGCAAAGCAGCTCTACACACAGGAAACACTTCATATACTTTATCTTGCAAGATCTTGCCCTGTAAGCAGTAGGAATGTAAATCATAACCAGCGAGCACAGACTATTCACATTTCTACCTGGTCTTGGAACAGTGAGCTACTTACTATTACAATGTCTAGATCAAAAGTCAAAATATCAGGTAAAGTCTTGGTCAGAAGTTCTGCTTCAGATACACCATTAAAACGATCCACTTTTCTTTTGACTTTGAAAGTATCTGTGATCTTTTCTTGTTTGCCTTTTGACTTGGCTGATTTTTCTTTCTTAGCAGCAGGCTTTTTCGGTTGCTTTGGCTCAGTTGCTTTGGCTTTTCTTTTCCTTCCTCCTTTTTTAGCTTCTGAAATACACAGCAAATACCCTTTTTTGTACATTTCTGATGTTGCAGAGTGGATATTCAAAAAGACTGAGATAAATGCATAGGCACAAAAAGAAATCAGACAGATAAATTCACCTTCAAAATTCATGAATTTAAACAATTACCAGATGAATCTCAGTTTTGCAGCCTCAACACAGAGCTAGCCTGAGTGTCTGTACCACAGACACACAGACTACTCACAGGCAACTACGCTGACTTAGGATACAAACCCAGAATAACCTGCTGGCTAGGTTATATTGTTTACATGCTGTATGCAACAATCCTTCAGGAACAGTCTCATTTCTTTTGGAGGCTATGCCAGAACATCAAAACTTGTTCCAGGGAATGTGATAGTGAATTCTAGTCCACTATTCACACTCCAGCTTCTAAATAGGAAAATTAGTGTTACAGATTAGGTAACATACTGAAGAAACTGGATGGCATGTCAAAAGCACAGGGTCTCACAGATCGCTACAGTGTAACCTCGTCAGGAACACAAACACACCGGCTGAATGCCACGTTAACTACACACAGCCTACAGAACAGATCCTGTCTAGTGCGGCATATAGCAAGGTAACACCGGAGAGCTTCAGTTTGAATGAGTGACACCAGACATTAATTTTTATTTACAAAATGCAAACATAAAGCAGTCACTGTTCACTCATTTGAAAATTCCTCATCTTCTGGCCCCTAAAGCTTAGAGATTCAATCAGCAGAGGTACTGGTCAGGACATGACCACCCAGAGATTGCTCCCTACCTGTGTTCACTGATAATGTCGAGCTGCAGAACACAACTTGAAAAAGATGAAAACATATTTATACAGAATCATAGAATGGTTTGGGTTGGAAAGGACCTTAAAGACCATCTAGTTCCAACCCCCCTGCAGTGGGCAGGGACACCTTCCACTAGACCAGGTTGCTCAAAGCCTCAGCCAGCCTGGCCTTGAACACTTCCAGGGATGGGGCATCCACAGCTTCTCTGGGCAACCTGTTCCAGTGCCTCACCACCCTCTCCCTGAAGAGTTTCTTCCTGATAGCCAATCTAAATCGCCCCTCTTTCGGTTTAAAGCCATTATCCTTTGTCTTGTCCTTGCAAAGTCCCCCCCAGCTTCCTTGTAGGCCCCTTCAGGCACTGGAAGGTGCTATAAGGTCTCCCTGGAGCCTTCTCTTCTCCTGGCTGAACAAGCCCAACTCTCTCAGCCTGTCCCCACAGCAGAGGGGCTCCAGCCCCCTGATCACTGAAGCAGAAATGAGCAAGAGCCAAGGTAATGTATTACTTGAAAATTGAAACTTCATCTTATTTTCAAGATTTCTAGATGAAACTTTCCCTCAGATAAGAAATAAATGTGATGGATACCAGGGCACTGTCCCAAGACTGCAGACTTTTTTAGGGCTGTTTTTGTTTGCACTAAGCTTCCTCATAAGAAGGACCAAAGTCGTGTGAAATTCCCACTGCATCATTGGAGCAACTGCTTCCTAAGTAAGGAAGCTGTAGTCTAGTTGCAATGAAGAACGTGAAGATGTCATGAGCACGCTGTTAGGCACAAGAAGCCCAACTACATAGCAGTGGAGATGCATCCTCACTGTAGTGAATAACGCTGCGACTGAACAGAGCAGGCACAAGTACTTTAAACTGGAGGTTTTCTTCCTGTGATTTCATCTGGCCATGCATTACAACTAAAAAAGAAAACAATGAGGCTTATCAAAAGATGCACTTAAACCAGCAGTGTCGTTGCATGAACTGGCTGGTAGGTTCCCTTGGTACGGAGCGCTGTGACCTACATCTAAATAGCGAAAGCAAGGTGAAACTCAGTGTGTGAATATTTTCAATAGAGCAGAATTTAAGCATGGCAGAGATCGCTGCCTGTTTAACATGGTAAAGAGACGCACAGTAACAGAACAAGGGAACGTTTCTTGGCACAGTCAGTGTAACGCCCAAGTCTGCACAGTCCTAGTGGGGTAAAAGAAAGGCAGTGTACAAGTGCATGAACTATGAAACTCGTGTCGCATACAGGACACTTCCCCGCACTGTTTGTATTTGTTGAAATAAGCCTCACTAAAACCAAACAGTGCATAGTGTATATAAGCAGTTAACTGTTTGTGATTACTGTCACACCCTAAACCACTATTTAACCAAAAATATTTCAAATAAGCAGTGTTATACTGCACTTCTCTTGCAGAAATTTAAAATCAAACACAAACAAAAAACCTCAGACTGAAAAAACCCCAAAACTTCTCTAACGTAATATTAAAACACCTGAAATCAGCTAAAATTTATACATATATATATTGAAACAAAATTCTGCTTTTTCTGCAATAAGATAATTTTGTCAGACTGAACAATGTGAATACTGTCACCGAGGTTTACTTCTCATATTTTTAACTGACTGGTAACAAACATTACATCAAGAATGCAATTAATCAATACTTCCTCCAAGAGCATCAAGAAATCCAACAGGTCCAAACCAGCAGTTTAAGACCAATAGATTTTTTCCCCCGAGTCGACTACTAACGTTTTAGCTCACTCAGCACAGCCCAGTCAAACTACCTTTCGGAGGCTCCTGAGCAATGTTTGGCTCTGGAACGCCCTCTAGAGTCGGCTGCTCAGTCATGATTTCCATGTTGGGCGCCGCAGTCATCATCTGATGGAACGGAAACGCGTAGAAAGCTTGAGCTTGCTGAAGATAGGCGTAGTACCTTAGGAAGGGTGGAAAAAAGAGACACGATTCATGGACAGTTTAGAAATCTAGTGCTGTATCAAATAGACTGTAAACACCCATCTTTATCAAGGCTGGCGTGTACTGCACTTACATCCTCCGAACACTCTACTAACAAGGCAGTAAGGGATCCAATCCCGCTAAGCCGTCTGCTTGGCTGGGATCAGGTGATGTTAAACCCAACATTAACGCTACAGTTCTCTCGTGATTACTCTAATGTGGAGGAATCGCAACATCTGTAAGGGAATCCTAGAGCTTTTCCCTTTTTTTCCTGAAAAACCACCCTGTAGCACACATTATCAAGGCAAACTGCCCCTCAAATGTACCGACAATTTACAACCCGGGCGAGTTAAAACTCTTTGGACTTCAAGTTTCCCAAGTTTTAGATTTTCACAGTGTTACATCAGTGACTTTATCTGATATGATACAGAATGAATCATTCTGAGCTACAAAGCACTATGAATACACACAGCATTAGTTACTGTGCAGATTATTAAAGAGCTTTGTTCAGTTATCCCACACTGGATCCTAACACATATATTGCACTTATTCTATACAAGGTGTTCACACAGGGATCCAGTTTCCTTCCGTGCACAGACATTTTTCCATATACAGCTCTTTTGCTCCACACATTGATTAGTCACACACAGCCCTCATGCCCCGACACAAACTTCTGCTTCATGCTGTCATTCCCTTCTACCTACGCTGCCACCTTCTTGTCCACAGATTCTACTGCCATACAAACACACAGAAAAGACTTCGTGAGCAGTAAATATTCAGGAAATAATTTTATCATCTCAGAGCTATTCATAAAAACACCAAATAATTTCTGGATATATAGAAATATCTCAAGAGAAGGGACCATTCTCTATTACGCAATGCCTATTTAAGAACATTTAAGAATCCCACTGTAAATCAGATTTATGCCAAAACAGTCTGTAGCCTTGTGATCAGGCCACTGATTTTGAACCAAATACCTGCCCTGAATCAAGGAGAATAAATCTGAACATAGCTCTGTCAGATTCCTGGGGAAGTTGCCCAACAAAGTCACTGGAGATTTTCAGCCTACAGCAAAAAACTCAACCCCCCCTGCTGGAAGATCCATTTTATATAAAATACTTGTGCAGTTACTGAACAGAAGAGAACTGATCCTCAGATCTGTATTAGGAAACACAACTGAGACATGTAGAATCCAGTTCATAACGTAATAAATGCTTAATTACACAGAGCAGAGCAAGAAAGACGTGAAAGCATCTAACCCAAGAACAGTCTTGAACAAGAAGTTTTCTTATAGTACATGTCTTACTACTTTATGCGTATATAAAGACTCCTTAGAAAGGGAATAAGATTTCCTTTAAATAGAGGAAATTTTTCACCACATCATGGACAAGTCTTCTACCCACATGCTAATGAGATGAAAAAGGGAGCTTTTACCCCCACCTCCAATCTTCATATGAATTATTTTAGACTATTTTTCTTGCATGTCTTCAGAAACAGAGTATTTTGTTATTGATATGTATCTTATAGAACACTTAAATTTTGAGTTCCGTGAGAAAGTGGTAGTGACCACTCCAAACCCCCAGCCCTACAACGCCCGGCACCTCACCGCCCCCGCACACAGCCGACGATCGGCCGGCCCCGGGAGCAGGCACCAACTTTCCTCCCACACC